TCAGGTTGGTATCTTGTGCATAACTTTTGCTACATTTTTGGTATCTCTGTTAAGTCAATGTTTGTTTCAGTTCAGATGTTAAATAGTTCAATGGGTTTGTAGTTGGGTGCAATTCTGTCTGAGAATGATTGGAAGATGGAAGGATATGTGGGATACTATTATAAGTAGGACTGTAGGAGTGTAGAACAATATGACAGGTGGTATAAACTCTTTGGGACATTCAAGATTTTGGAAAGATGAAATCAAAATGGTGACTGCCTTAATGCTCAACCTAAGGAACAATGAAAACTTACTAACCGGAGGACGTTATATAGTGCTAGGGCAAAAAATTGAAAACTTGAAGAACTTTTAGGGTTCCTTCTTTTTCTTTTTTCCTTTATTTTTTGGTTTGCCGAATTTTTCTTTTAAGAATAGGGAGATGTAGACTAAAATTTACGCTTGTTGACGTAATTGCAAAAGACTTGATTCCATTAGACCCTTAGATAGGTCTAGCAGTTAGTTGAATGTGCCAAAAAATGATTCGTGTTTTTGATCCCAAGTTTATTAGGTATAAGGCTTGGTTTGTTGTTGTTGGTTTGGAGTGAGGAGGGTAAAAGAAATGGATGGCAAAAGGCACGTTCATGAGTCCTTGGTTGGTTGACACAGAGATAAATGTATTGAGCTTGAGCCTTGAGATTTAGCTCCATCTCATTGAAATTAAGCCTACATTGTACACGACTGCCTGAAATATATGTGGATGCGTTAAATTTGTATACTCCAGCGTTTTTGACATGAAATATTATCACAGTGTTTTTCACCTTTTTGTCTGTAATTGCAGAACTTCATTTGGCCTAAAGTTTTAGGTGAGAGTGGAGAAAGTGAATATTTAATATAATTTCTAATATTTATTCCCATTGTTGGTGGCCAAGAATTTTGTGGTTGCATCATCTAAGGATACTTTTGTAAAATGTCTAATCTAATTTAGGAAAGAGGACATTATATTTGGTCTAGGCAAAAAAGAAAGGGAAAATTAGAGCTGTGATCCCTATCCTTTGAAGGAGTGTAGATATGGATCCTCAAATGTTAAAACTGAGGACATTGTTCCTCAACCTTCATAATATTGTCGATATAGATTTTTGGTGGACGGATTTCATCCATTTGGTTGTTATGAAGTTAAATATTGTGGTAAAAAGAATTGTACCTTCCTTTTGAATAACTTAAAAAAAAAGAAAGAAAGGATAAAACATAACTACAAAATAATAATAATAAGGAAAAGACCAATGTCTTCTTTCCCCACCATGCCACCCACCCAACCCAGCCCCAATCACAAGACCCTCCACCACTGACAAACACCACAATTGTAGTAACCTAATTAGGGTCAATTGCGCCATCATCATTAACTGCCGTCACCGCCACTAGTCAACCGCTGCCAACGTGTCCAAGGTGTGATTTTGTCAACACTAAAATTTTACTTACGATCCTGGAGCATTTTTTGGCTTTTGGAGCTCACTGCTCAGACAATTTTGAAGTAATAAACAAATGGAAGTTAACAACCAGCTCAATTTGCCAGGACTAAAGATGCCCAATTCAAGTTCTTCCCATGTAAAGACTTAGGTTTGTTCTCTGGAGACAAATTAGCTTGGAGTTACAAGGTCAATGACTGTTTTTGTGGAAATTGGCCAACGGTGAATGAAATGAATAAACACCCAAAGTGGTGCAGGCAATGGTTCTTGATGGTTGTTCTCATTTTCCAAACTTATGTTTCTTTAACATTTGGCCGTCCGTTGCTGTTTAATTTAGTTTTCATGTTCTATAACACATGAAAAGAGATTCTATTTAAGTAGATTAATTAGGTTTTTTGTAGATATGAAGGATGCAAACTGTCTTGAACACTACTTGGGGATTTGATGGAGTAGGAGTTGAAAGATCTGGTGGAGGATGTCTTCAGGTATACATATGGGGATGGTGGAGAGGCAATCAGCGATGGCTGTAACACAGCAACATCTGGTGTCAGGTGGTGGATCTTACGGTCGACAGTAACTTGGAGGTGGGTTTTGGTGTGGGGGTGGGGTTGGGGAACGGAATGAGAAGAAGTAGATTATATTTTCTTTTTCCTATTCATTTTTTGGTAGGTTTTCTTTTTCTTTTTTATGTTATTCAAAGTAAGGTATTTTTTAGCCATTAAATGGATGCTTTCTGTCCATTAAGGATCCGAAGTCACAACACTATATAGGTTGAGGACCTATGTCCTCGATTTCGAAGGTTGGGGATTCCATCATTCCAACTCTAATTTTCCCAAAAAAAATGAGGTCCAATCCCGAAGTGGGAGTTCTTCATCTAAATGATATTTGTTTCATAAAAGAGAATTTTCTAGAAAATAGTTGTGTGTTTGATCAGGCAAGGAAATTTGACACCCATTAGGTAACTAACAAAATCGAAACAAGGAAGATAAGACAAACTTGTCGCTGATTAAGGATTACATGACGGAGATGTAGTCGAGTATTCTTCTTTTACACTACGCAAGCTTACCGATGTATGCACCGACTAAAATCTGCTCATATATGGTGCATGAGTAATTCTTTTACCACTGTGTTACTAATTTTCAATTAAATTATGCAGGCATCATATCTATGAGAAACGTGGAGGTCCTAAATCAATAGAACTAAAAGAGATTGGTCCTCGATTTGAAATGCGGCTTTACCAGGTACTTTTGGTTGGTTGTGATATATTTAACTCATCGGTTTTGATACATTATATTGCAATATAAATATATTGCAATTCTTATGAGTTTTGATACATACATTATGTTGCAATATATTTTGCATTTCTTATAGATGATGGTGGTCTCAATAAGCTAAGCTATTCTTTCCTCTTCTGTTTTACCTTTGCTATAGAATTACGTGTTAAAACCTACCCTAATTTGATTTGCTGTAGTACGCAAAATTAGCAAAAGTCTAGCTTGTGTGTGACACTAAGATATTCTTCCCTGGAGCTTGTTTAGCCATTGTTCACTGAGGTGACCTAGTTTTTCTTGTAAACTACCTTTTGTCACTACCGAGTTTTCTTGAGCGACAGCAACACTCCACCTGTAATATAGTTTCTCCAAGTAGCACATACAGATTTCCTAACTTCTCTCCTCTCATCACCACTATGGACCATTTACTTACTGTAGTATTGAGAATCCTTCCAAAGTGATCTAAGTTTTTCTTCAACTCATGACCCATGAGTATGGCGTACATTACCCATTGTTCTGATACTGTCGAGCAATCTGATCTTTACAGTACCTATTTTGATGGTGCTATTATCATCATTGCATATTAGAACAATATCGGCACTTAATCCTTGTATCTGTCAAATCATTCTTTGCTAGGACATGTATGGAGCATTGAGAGTCTAGTGTCCCGGAATCGAATAGAGATCTACTGCTTGTAGTCTTATTAAAGTCTCTGCTTGGCCCCTTTCATATTCATTGTTGACAATATTTATTTTTTCTGACATCTGATTTTTACTTTACTTCCAGTACTCATCAATTTGCTGCAAAATTTTCTTTTAATAAATCAGTTACAGAGGAATTCTTTTGAACTATTTATTACTATATATTGAGGCTTATGCCTCGCCTCAAAGGCATAATTCCTCTGTAACTGATTAATCTTTTTTAATCGTTGTTCGTAGTACTCTCACATTATTTTTGGAACGTGAGTTGGAACTTTTATTATTTTTATCAAACCATCCACAATGCAGTCGAATCTTGAAGTGTTGTCAATGAACTCTTCTTGATGAATATTGTAGCTGGAGTCTCCCATTATTTTGGCTAGGATGCCAACATAATGACGGCCTGATATTCTTCATCAGTCTTGACTTCCACTTTTTGTAGTTGAGTGATGCCTGTTGAATTTGTTGATGTCTCTTTGAGCATCCTAAGCTTCATCAATTTTCTTCTCGTATAACCTTTTTCACATATATTTCATAAAGGATTTGAACACTTCTCCAATAATTTCTAGCGAGTAGTTTTTAGTAAGTACTACAATTTTTGGAGCTAAACTCAACTAATTGGTGCTGACAATTTCGTTTTTAATTGTTTCCTTTTGGCATGTGCCATGCCATCGAGCCTCTTTCCTAATAGAGCTTTAGAGGCCTTTTGTTGCCCTAATACATCATTAATAGTACCCTGGCATATATCAATATTTTTTTATCATCAAAAAGCTCCACCATACCTTGTTCTCATCATTTTGTGTAAGAAACTCTATTAACACCAACCATTCGGCTCTAACCCCAAGTGCTGTGAAAAGTGGCCATTATGCAGACAAGGACACCACTTATGAAGAAAAATGAGGGATATACCAACCATTCGGCTCTAACACCAAGTGCTGTGAAAAGTGGCCATTATGAAGACAAGGACAACACTTATGAAGAAAAATGAGGGATATAGTTAACATAGGAACAAGAAAGAGACAAGAATTTTACGTGGTTTGACATTTTGCCCATGGTCATGAAAGGAGATCAGATAATCCCACCATCAAGTTGACTATATTACAATTGAAAATTCCTCTTAATCTTCTAAATTACTTAAGTTCCTTACCCAAGTTCTCCCTAGTAAGCACACTCTCAAATTATTTTAGAGAAGAACTTTTCTATTTAGAGCTTACTATACTCAAGGGAGGCTATCTATTCTAGCTATTGTTGTACAAACGAAGAAGATCAAGCACCCATATTTAGAGGTATGAGTATAATAGGTTTGCCTAAGACTTAGGCAATGATGAGCATGCCTAACCACGTGGAGGTGGTTGAGCTGGTGACGAAGTTGGGGAGGTACAGACGGTGGAGTGATGCGTACTGGCAATAGTGGAGGATTTTTAGAAGGAAACTGACAGGAGTTCCTAGAGAGACTGTTTCTTGATTGTGATAATCAAGAATTAACATCTACATATGAAATATGAAACGGTTAGTAGTTTTTCCCTTTTTCTGTGGAGTGAGGTTTCTTTAGGTATAATATAATGCATATCACTTCCTCAGGAAGTATAGTCATTTGGTTAAAGTCCTGACCAATATTCGTTTGAAATACCAATGAGACCTTTAGTTCTTGCTTGTCCCTTATACATACAGCCGCCTCAATATTATGAAATTTTCAATACAACATGTTATTCGTCCTATGATCAATACTGGGTTAGCTGGCATGGTTCTATTATTCTTTTTCCACTTCACCAAACGCTCAAGGGATTGGTGCTTGAATGTAGAAGGTTCTCATTTCTTTATCGCTTCTTTTTGTTTGCGTGTCTCGAGGCTTATTCCTCTGCCATCTATTGAAGACTTAATCCTCTAAAGAGCAGAACCTGATCAGTTTCTGTTTTTGGTTTACAGCTCAAACTAGGAACAGTGGATCAAGATGAAGCTCAAAATGAATGGGTCATCAGGCCATACATGAACACAGCCAAAAAACGGATGTTTCTTGGAGATTGACAGGACGTTCCCCTACTGTGTAGCAGTAGCCTTTCTTGTCTTGTACCAAATCGACTGTTAAGAATTTAAAAAAAAAAAAAAATTGCTGTCAAAATATGTTTGATTACAGATCATGTCGTCTAGGCTTAGAATTTCAACAATTTGAAATGGCCTTACAAGTATAGACAAAATATAGGCATAATAAAGAGGTGTTAAATTTTAGCTCCTGTTTGGGAGCAATTTTGTATCCAATTTTATGTGCAATTCCTCGGCTATTTCCTTGCACATTTGATGTTTCTATGATGGGTATTAGGAATCGTGTTCATCTTTGATGTGTTTTTGGGGGAAAAAGTAGAAAAAACAGAAGATTCAGAAGCTATAAAAATGGTAGAAGATTCTAGAGCTAGAAAAATTGTACAAAAACTATAAAAAATTAGTTAGATGTGATTTTACCTCTGCTTGGATCTTCTCATTCTCCTTGAAAATGGAGTCATAATAGGACAAAATGGACTCATAAGAGGATTTGAGTTGATAGATCGTAATCCCTTTCTAGGTGTTTGTTCTTCCACATGTGGTTCTGGAATCAAACCGTCACTTACCGAGGCTACAATCCCACATTCGTCACTTACCGAGGCTACAATCCCACATTTCTAATTAAAAAAGGACTCAAAGTGACTGTATTTATACAAATTTTTTGGCACTTACAATTTGTGACATTTTCATCTAAACGTGACATAGCATGTTGTGCTATTTTTTAATTAAAATATCACGTACAATTAATTGTTAGAGAACAATACATCTTTGACTAAGCTTTCAATTGGCTTATAATAATTTTTTTTTAGATATTAATTTATTTTGTATTATGTTAAATGTGAATTAAGTTTTTATTATAGAGAAAATGATATTGTACGCCACTTTTTAATTGAAGAGTGACATGAGTCGCTTTTAATAAAAACATAATAAAAAGTGACATTGTATGTCACCTTTTAATAAAAATATATCACTTAATTGGTGAACTAAGAAGGGGAGGATGGTAGTTGTGTCACTTTGAGCTGATTCCAATGTTTTAATAGTGTTTTATCACTTTTTTATTTTGTCACCTTTTTGAGTGTCACTTTTTGAATTTCTGTCATTTTTTCTAGTGTCACTTTTTCTTTTTGTCGCTTTCTTGAAATTTCTGTTATTTTTTTAGTGACACATCACTTTTTCATAAAAGTGACATACATAAAACGTGACACTTAACTTGGAAAAGTGTCCTTGTGTCACTTTTTAATTAAAAAAATGTGGCACAATANTGGAAATGCTGCTGAGGGAAATACTGCTTCGAGAGAGGGCGGTACGGAAAGAATTGAGTGATTCACCTAACACTTCAAAGCCTTACGGTTGGGCTTCTTTAGAGGGAAGCAAGCTCGCCAAGCTAAGAACAATTCAATACCCGTCCACTTTATGGGAGCAAAATTTATACCCTGTTCATTGGTGTCAATCTTAAGCTTGAATGTGAATTCATTTACATACTACTAGGTCAGTTGTTTTCAACGTGCCACTTTTCACATGGATTAAATTTGAGAATGTCATTTTCCTTATAAATTGGTCAGCTACTATAGATAGAAATGGACTACCAACAAAAACCAAATTTCACATGCAACTTGCCATTAAACAACGACTAAAGTGTCATTTTATGTCTTTTTCTTGGGCAGAAAAAGCCTCAAAAAGTTTTATTTTATAATTTAAAGATGGTCATTAATTCTTACACACTCTCAACTGCATCTACATGCTTGGTACGTATCGATTGGACAATGTTTGACAGAAATTAAAATCTTGTTCCACCCTGGCTCCTGGGAGGCACATCCTGCGATTTACCTCCTCCACAATGGCCCAGGGCAATATTAATTGATTTGATAAATATGTGGATAAACGTAGTTTGACAGATTATAAAATTTATAAAGGGTGGGTGGACCCTGGCTCCTGGGAGGCACATCCTGCGATTTACCTCTTTCACAATGGCCCAGGGCAGGGTCGGTGGGGGCCCTCAAGGTTGGGGTTCAACCTTTTTAAAATCTTGTTATTTATTATGTGCAAATTTTGAACCTTATGATTATGGTGCAACTCTTTTGTACGAAACATGCTAAAAATTATAAAACAAATAACATTAAATTTTTTTTTTTAATTTCATCTTACGTCATTCAACTTGCATGTTTGTTTCAATTTGATGACTAAATTTATATATATGTATATATATTTTAATTTATGGACTAACATAGTAAGTCCAATAATTATATAGATTTCATTTTTCTCCATGAAAAATCACTCTTTAAAAATAAAAAAACACATAAGAACTTATTTCTTAGCACAATTAAAAAAAAAGAATTTCCTTCAAAATATGATTGATTACAGATCATGTCGTCTAGGCTTAGAATTTCAACAATTTGTAATGGTTCAAATTTGGTAATGGTTAGAGATAAGGTTTTGAAACTTAAAACCTTACAAGTATAGACAAAATATAGGCATAATAAAGAGGTGTTAATTTTAACTCCTGTTTGGGAGCAATTTTGTATCCAATTTTATGTGCAATTCCTCAGCTATTTCCTTGCACATTTGATGTTTCTATGACAGGTATTAGGAATCGTGTTCAAGTTTGATGTGTTTTGGGGGAAAAAAATAGAAAAATGAGAAGATTCAGAAGCTATAAAAATGGTAGAAGATTCTAGAGGTAGAAAAATTGTACAAAAACTACAAAAAGTTAGTTAGATGTGACTTTACCTCTGCTTTGATCTTTTCATTCTTCTTGAGAATGGAGTCATAATAGGACAAAATGGACTCATAAGAGGATTTGAGTTGATAGATCGTAATCCCTTTCTAGGTGTTTGTTCTTTCACATGTGGTTCTGGAATCAAACCGTCACTTACCGATGCTGCAATCCCACATTTCTAATTAAAAAAGGACTCAAAGTGACTGTATTTATACAATTTTTTTGGCACTTACAATTTGTGACATTTTCATTTAAACGCGACATAGCACGTTGTGCTATTTTTTAATTAAAATATCACGTACAATTAATTGTAAGAGAACAATACATCTTTGACTAAGCTTTCAATTGGCTTATAATAATTTTTTTTTAGATATTAATTTATTTTGTATTATGTTAAATGTGAATTAAGTTTTTATTATAGAGAAAATGATATTGTACGCCACTTTTTAATTGAAGAGTGACATAAGTCGCTTTTAATAAAAACATAATAAAAAGTGACATTGTATGTCACCTTTTAATAAAAATATATCACTTAATTGGTGAACTAAGAAGGGGAGGATGGTAGTTGTGTCACTTTTTTGTCACTTTGAACTGATTCCAATGTTTTAATAGTGTTTTATCACTTTTTTATTTTTTGTCACCTTTTTGAGTGTCACTTTTTGAATTTCTGTCATTTTTTCTAGTGTCACTTTTTCTTTTTGTCGCTTTCTTGAAATTTCTATTATTTTTTTTGTGACACATCACTTTTTCATAAAAGTGACATACATAAAAAGTGACACTTAACTTGGAAAAGTGTCATTGTGTCACTTTTTAATTAAAAAAATGTGGCACAATAAAAAGTGACATTTTTAATAAAAAAATGTGACACTTAATTTTACACTATATTTTTTACTTTCAAAATATCTTTATATGATTTTTCAAAAGATCTCTAATTTTAGGAGTATTTTTATAAGTTGCTCTGTCTTTAAACCCATCCTAGCCTAATTCCAATTCTGAAACCAAACATCTCCATCCCTCCTTGTTATTGTATTAGATTTATTTAAGCAACAAATTTGGCATTTATGATTTATCCGCCTTCTTATTATACTAGGTGCAAGCAACGTGCAATGCACGTTTGCCTAGTTTATATTTAATAGTTTTTTTTAAAAATTAATTTGTTATTAATAAAGATGTAATTTTTTTGGTTAATTAAATAATTAATGATGTAATGTTTATGTAATTGATAAATAATTAGATGTGTGATTTTGATGTTGTAATGTAAGTTGGTGAGATTGAAGAAAATAAGCAAAAGTTGACAAATTTGGAGAAATGGCTAAATTGTAAGGGATCCAAAGTTCGGGGACTAAAATGTAAATACTTAAAAGTTGTGCCGAACCTCACGATAAAGATTTGAGAGTGCTCGGAGTCAATTGGATAAAGGAAGACGTCAATGGAATCAAATTTAGTCAAAAGATGATCACAAATCAATTTCCAACCGAAAAGTTATGCTCCGATGTTTTAGTCTCATATTGAGACCTATTTTTGGCATAGAAAGTGATCGAATTGGAGAATGATGTCTGAATCAAAGTTGTAGCCAGATGAGTTAGCTTTCCAACGCATTTTGAATCGCCTCAATCGGATATCGGAATACAAAGTTATGATAAAAACACTGAAAGAAGGTGCAGCTGCCTGTTTAAAATAAGAAATTTCGTTACATAGTCCGTTAAATTGAGACCTATTTTTGGCATATAAAGTGGTCGAATTGGAGAATGATGTCTGAACCAAAGTTGTAACCAAATGAGTTATATTTCCAACGCATTTTGAATTTCCTCAATCGGATATCGGAATACAAAGTTATGATAAAAATACTGAAGGAAGGTGCAGCTGCATGTTTAAAACAAGAAATTCCGTTACATAGTCCGTTAAAACAACAAATTCCGTTAGTTTTTCCGTTAAATACAAGAAATTCCGTTACACAGCCACTTTTAATATATAGAAGATGTTTGTAGTTGATTTTATGTAAGCAATAAATCTGAAATTTTACCTTTTCTCATGGTTCAATATGTATTTTTTGCAATTGGGACTTATTCTTTCAATGTATCCGACAATTTGTGGTATGAAAATGCCCCAACTTCTGCAACTGTTGTGAATTTTGCTAATGGAAATTACATATCTGAAATCCCATCAGCTTAACCCATAAGTACTTTGCAGATATGCTCTCAATTTTTCAATTACAGTCGTAGGAGGCTTGAGTATATGTATAAGGTACAATTGGCATGGACAAGAGTAATTT